CCGGGGGGGTCTCCGCCGCCGCCGCCGCCGCCGGAAGGAGCCGCCATTTGCCACCGCCGAGTGCACGGGCCGAGCCAAGCCGAAGCCGGGAGCCGGAGCGGTACTCGGGCCGGGAGGTCGGCGATGGGGGGCGGCCCCACCGCAGGAAGATCCGGGCTCGTAACCCCGGGAGCCCGGCCCGCTCCGGACCCAGACCCGCGGGGCGCGGCGCCCTGAGCCCCCTTCTGAGCTCACCCCCTGCCCCGGCCATGGCTGCCCGCGCCGTCGTCCCCGGGCCGCCAGCCCTCTCGGCCCGGCGAGCCCCGGAGCCCCGGCGGAGGCAGCATTGAGCGGCGCCCGCAGGCCCGAAGACCCCGGCCCGCGCCCCTCCTGGCCCGGTCCCGCCCCTCCCCCGCCCCGAGTCCCTCGCGCTGCCCCCCGCCCCGCGGCGTCCGGACGATGCTCAAGTCCCGGCTCCGCATGTTCCTGAACGAGCTGAAGCTGCTGGTGCTGACGGGCGGGGGGCGGCCCCGGGCCGAGCCGCAGCCCCGAGGGGGCGGGGGAAGCGGCTGCGGCTGGGCGCCCTTCGCCGGTTGCTCCTCCCGGGACGGCGACGGCGATGAGGAGGAGTACTACGGGTCGGAGCCGCGGGCCCGGGGCCTGGCCGGCGACAAGGAGCCGCGGACCGGACCCCCGCCGCCGCCCGCACCGCCGCCGCCGCCGCCCCCGGGCGCGCTGGACGCCCTGTCGCTCAGCAGCAGCCTGGACAGCGGGCTCCGAACCCCCCAGTGCCGGATCTGCTTCCAGGGCCCGGAGCAGGTCAGGCCGCGGCACCTGGCGCACGGGAGGGATGGGTGGGGGCGCGCACCTGGGGTGTCCGCGTAGACCTCGAGGAGAGGGCGGGGCTGAGCTGTTGGGCGGGACCCGGGACCCCGGACCGGAGTGGGAATGGGGTGAAGCTGGGAGGCTAGGGAGACTTAGAGTGCGTGTTTGGGTTGGGGGTCAGGGATCCCCTGGAAGGGGTGCGGCTTTGTCCTGGGAGGGCTCAGGATCCCTCATGTCCATTAACGGGAACGTTCACTGCTCTGGCCTCAGGGTCGCCATTGGCTGAGCATCCTGTTATTTCGGAGGTGAGCAGCGAAACCAGTACATCTGTACCCACCTTGAGGGGAAAGGCCCAACCAGCACCCTGCCCCACTATTTCCCGGCGGGGCACTTGGCACTTGGCGTCTTTGAGTTTCCACTTCATTCCAGAGAGACTTTTTTGTTAAATTTTATGGGCAAAGTTGTCCCGGGATAGTGCCAGAGCGTGTCTCTATGTAGTGAGAAGTGACTCCCTGATAAAAGCGAGTATGTTCCACTCTCACCTTCAGGGTTTCTCCCCTTTTTAATACGTGGGAGCGGAGATCCGCCATCCATCCCAGTCTCCCAAGTCTATGAAATACTGTGCAATACTTAAAATGATGGGGTATGGGAAGGAAGGCATGGCTCAGAAGCTCTGGTCCTCTCTTCCCTCCAGATTCTAGGGGGAAGCCTTCCCTTTGAGCAATCTTAAACACTCCAAATTTTAGGAAAAAAAGAAGCTCATGTCTCCCCTCCAACTCCCATCCCTCCTCTCTTTGGTATGGGAAGTTTTCCTTGAGCGCTCATTTCCTTCAGGGCTGCAGCCTTAGTCTCTTGTCCTGTTTGGGTGAAAGGCCTGAGTATTTTAAGGTGAGAGAATGACTGACCTGAAGAAGAGGTTTCCCTCTCCAGTAGCGGGGCCGGCCGAGTGGGGTCCGGGTAGTGATCGCTGACAGGGTCCCTCCCTACTCTTCCTCCAGGGGGAGCTCCTGAGCCCCTGCCGCTGCGACGGCTCAGTGCGCTGCACACACCAGCCCTGCCTCATCCGCTGGATCAGTGAGAGGGGCTCCTGGAGCTGTGAACTCTGCTACTTCAAATACCAGGTCCTGGCAATCAGCACCAAGAACCCGCTGCAGGTGAGGTAGAGAGAGAGGATGCAAACTGGGTGAGGGAGGGTCTTTCAGCCATCAGAATCAGAGACTCTCTAGGGAACCTATTTTGTCTATTTAGTAGAAAGTCATCCCCTCTCACACACGCACACCATTAAGGCAGTCTCGTTTGTAAGTCTTTCCTTTATTCACAAAGACATTTATTGGGTGCCACTTGTATTTTAGGGTCTGTTCTAGACACTGGGACAAAAGAAAAGATGATAAGGTTGTTGATGATGATAGCAAACATAGAATTTTCTGCATGTCAAGTTTTGGATTGAGTCTTAGCTTTCATAATAATCCTATTAGATATCATTGTTATCTCCATTTTGCAGATGAAGACACTGATGCACTAAGGGATTTTAAAATACCCAAAATTACTCAGCCAGTTAGTGATGGAGTTAAGATTTGAAATTCTGACCTAGATGTTTTGGCTTCAGATTCTGCTTTTCTGAAGTAAGAGAAACAGCTGGGCATGGTGGCACATGCCTATAATCCCAGCACCCTGGGAGGCTGAGGCAAGAGGATGGCAAGTTTGAGCCTAGCCTGGGTAATTTTTTTTTTTTTTTTTTTTTGAGGCAAGGTCTTGCTATGTAGTTCAGGCTGGCCTTGAACTTACTATGTAGCCCAGGCTGGGCCTCCTCACCAGATCCTCCTGAGTGCTGGGATCACAGGCGTGTGCCACCACACCCACCTACAGCACCACAGCCTAGATAATTTAAAAAAATAAAAAAGAGCTGAGTTTAATCCCCAGAACAGCCAGTCAGTCAGTAAATAAGACAGATAATAATGTTGGACAATTGCTTCATTTTAGGTTTGACCAGGGCACAGAGGAAACATGTTAATCCTGCCTAAAGGGTGTTGGGAAGACTCGTGGAGCTGCCTCTTCAGAGCTCCCCATCACCTGTCCTCCATCCCTTTCTGTGACTTTTTCAAGCACTTTCTCCTCCACAGTGGCAGGCCATCTCCCTGACGGTCATCGAGAAGGTGCAGATTGCAGCCATAGTTCTGGGCTCGCTCTTCCTCGTGGCCAGTATCTCCTGGCTCATTTGGTCCTCACTCAGCCCTTCAGCCAAGTGGCAACGGCAGGATCTGCTTTTTCAAATCTGCTACGGCATGTATGGCTTCATGGATGTTGTCTGCATAGGTAAGGGTACCTCCGTCTCCCAACTGCTCACCATCTTCCTCTTACCCACTTAACTTCCCAGTCTGTCCTCTCAGTTTTATGGCCATGTTTTCTGCTATTGGGGGCCTTTAAGGCTATTCTGGTGCTGCTCCCTTTCCTGCTTCTCAGGGTCCTTTGAAGGTGTGTCTTCTAACTCTTCAGAAATGCATACTTAAGGCCTTCTTGCCTAGGTCATGGCAGCACTTGACCCTAGATTTCTTATCCCTCTTGCTCAGGCCTCATCGTCCATGAAGGCTCGTCTGTCTACCGAATCTTCAAGCGCTGGCAGGCAGTGAACCAGCAGTGGAAGGTCCTGAATTATGATAAGACCAAGGACATAGGTGGAGATGCAGGGGGAGGGACGGCAGGGAAGCCAGGCCCCAGGACCTCACGGACGGGCCCTCCTGCAGGGACCACCAGCCGTCCCCCAGCTGCCCAGCGCATGCGGACGCTCTTGCCTCAGCGCTGTGGTTACACAATCCTGCACCTCCTTGAACAGCTGCGGCCACCAGATGCCCGTTCAAGCTCCCATTCTGGCCGAGAGGTTGTCATGCGGGTCACCACAGTCTGACCTGGACTTCAGGAGCAGGGATCTTAAGTCAATGCATCAGCCAGAGAGCAGCTGTCATAGCTGCTGGAGGTGCCACCTGGACAAGGTGGGGCATGGTGCTCTCACCACTGAGGATATCTTTGGGCGCCCTCAAGCTGGAGACATTGTCTGGCCTCTGCTGCCCACTGGGTAGAGACAACTGGATGACATTCCAGCTCCCACTGACAGCTCCTCATACTCATCTTTAGGTGGCCAGTGAGCAGGAGGGGAGAGCAGCTTTTCTTCCCTGGAAAGAACCGTCTTTACCTCAGCTCCTAGGGCCTCCAGCCCCCAGGCTCCACCATGGTGACTTGGTGATGTGGGACAAATGCCAGAAGAAAGGGGCTGTAGACCCCCATTCCCCACCCCGTGGCCACAGGGCATCTGGCAATAAGACTAGTATACATTGACCTCCCATTCCCTGCATGAGGGCAAGGGACTTCCCCCTGCTCCACCCCCCCATTGCATGGGGGAAGGGCATAAAGAGTCATTTATATGCACGTGGAGACTCCTTTCTCATCTGGGGCTTTTCTGGAGGGTTAGGAGTTGTGGGGAGGTTTCTCTGCACAGGTTGCTAGTCCCAAATGCAGCAGTGGGTTCTGAGTTGGAGGTGTGACTCCCACTTGCTAGTGAATAATTCACATTGGCTGCTAGGTGGAAGTGCTCAAAGGGGTGGGCCTACCACCTGTGAGTTGTATGATTTAGAAAAACATCTCTCGGCTATGGTTTTCCTGTCTACCTCATAGAGTTGGAATAAGGATAAATGAGAGACAGGTTGGGTGCCATTGCAAAGAAAATAATTGCATTAAAAAGATTTTTACACTAGTTGATGCTCTATTTCAAAGAGTACCTGGTGTAACAATTCAAAAATGTGTTTTTCATCAGGAGTTGCACAGAACATTGGAATTTTGTGTTGAATGACATAATGTATGTGGAAATAGGGAAAATAGACATTACAAATGTTAAGGATGGTGGTTTTTTGTAAGAATGAGAACTCCTCTGACCCTTTAAATGTTAAGGGCTAGGGGAAGGTTGGAGCCCACTGTCTTGTTCTAGAGGTCATCTGAGTTCTAGCAGTCCTTCCCAGGTACTGTGCTCATCCAGAAAGTGGTATGAAGTGAATATGGACTCATTTGGAGTGAGTTGGAGGGAAGCCTACCAATGTTACGCGTGTCTCACCCCAATTTAAGCTATTTCTGTGGCAGTTCAGGTTAGAGGGCCGATCCTGGTATTCCCAGCTAGTAGTATTAAGTAAAGGTATTGCGCTTGGTGGCAGCAGCGTAGAGGGCTTTTTATAGAGAAAAGATTGGGAAGGATTGGTTGAAAAGTGGCTCAGAGGGCTGGAGATGTAGCTGAGTGGTAGAGCACTTGCCTAGCATGCACAAGCCCTTGAGTTCGATCCCTAGCACTGAGGAGCAAAAAGTGGGTCAATCTGAAGCCTGGTCTCTTTCTTGTGAAGTGTGGGGGCTGTGTATTATATGAATGATGGTGTCTTTTAAGTGAACCATTCATCAGCAATTAAAATAATTCCTTCATACATTGCTAAAAGCAGACCCAGAGGCCTTTCTTATTATTGATCCTTCTCTGAGGGAAGTTTCTGCTCTATCTGTTCCCTTGGGATGTTTTGGAGATAATGCTGCTTTTCTCAGTGCCCACATAGCTTTCTTGTATAGTCAACCTTAATCCAGTCCCTCAAGAGGGGGGGCTTGGTTGCTGTCCATCGTGCTGACATCCAGACTCCCTTGGGAGTGTAAGAACCAAAGCCGGATTGGGGTCTGATTCACCTCAAAGTGTGGAAGCATATCACCTCCAATATCTGAGAGAGGGGACTGAAGCTGAATCCTCCATCTTCCCAGTAGGAAACTTTCCCCAGAGACATATTCCTCTATACTCCCCACCTGGGGAAACAAAAGGGGTAGATGACTGATTTTCCATTCACAGAAGAGCTGGTGGGAACCAGATGGGAGCCAGCAAAGCAGAATGACTGCTAGTACTTATACTGGCACATAGGCCTCAGATAAATGTGACACACATGGAGCTTCTGTGCCAAGCCTGTGCTGTCCCCTGTGATGGAGCCACATGGAAACTTAGACATACCCAAGAACACAGTCTTCATTTCCACTCTAGGTCCTAAAGCCAGCATTATGTCCTCTGCATCAGCACTAATGGAGATCTTGTGGGGGTTGGGTCAATGTCAGTATGGTCTGCTCCTTCCCCTTTTCTAACTTGAAACTTTGCAGGAAGGGGGGGGTCATGGGCACTGCTACTCTCTTTAATTGGGCATTCCTTCTTACCCAGTGAGAAATGTGGGTGGGCAGAGTTCTTATGACTGATTCCAGGAGAAAGGATCCCATAGCAGGCTGAGCTTTAATCTCCTTTAAAGCTCAAATCTGCTAAAAATCAGGTCCTTTAGGTCCAAGTTGAATTTGGTGATAGGAGAGTAGAGGTGGAGACTGAGTAGTAGAGGAATTGAGAAGAGACACAGTAAATACACAACATAGTAAATACACAACATAGTAAATACACAAACACTGGGGGACAGGTATTTAGCTCAGTGGTTTCACCGCCTGCTTCGCAAGCACAAGGACCTGAGTTCAATCCCTGGTACCAAAAAAAAAATACACAAACGCTGGATCTCTGGATGAGACTTTGGACATGCATTGCCCCTCTACGTTCTGCATGGTTTGATCCCCCACAGAAGATCTGGTGACTAGTGAAGTTTTGGGTCAGGGAGCTATGTCTAGGACAAGGGGCAGGGAGCAAGAAGTGTAAAGTGAAATCTCCATCTTTACCCGGCTAGTTTGGGGTAAGGACAGCAGAAGAGGGCAAGTCCAGACACAAGGAGGATAATCTGGGATACAGATGGAGGTGTGCAGAGTGCTGAGAGATTTATTTGGATGGAAGATGACTTAATCTGTATACATCATAAGAGTACTGTGCCTAGCCTCTGGGGGCCCACAGAGTGCTGACCGAGGAAAACAGGCTTCCTTGGCCCATCCTGCTCCTGCATTGGTGCCCTGGGGTTTCTGGCCACCCTCACACTCAGCTTTCACCCTGTCTGACTCCACTTCCCAGCTTGTTTCTTCATCTTTCCCTGAAGGAAATTATCTTGGAGTAACTTCCAGAGAGGCAAAGTGGCCAATATAGGATATCCTTCAACTCTGGCACTTCTATTACCAAAGAGTCAGCTGCCTCTGCCCATTTCTGTAAATCCCTAGCTCCCCAACCCACTTTACAATTTATCTCTTGCAGTTACTTTTCACTACCACCCCCTTAATCTCTTACAGGAAGCAAGACTAGACTTGGCTGTTCCCACTACAGACAGAAACATGCCTGGTTCTGTGTCACAAAGGATTCTACCAGGCTTCCAGACCTCCCATTGTTATGGGAATCACTCCCAGGACCTAAGAAACCAAGGTGGGAGAGGGGGGATTGGGACTTGCAGGAAGTGGGAGAAAAGTAAGCCAAAAGTCAAGGATGAAACATTTGTTTTTATTCCAAAACTTACGAATTTTTGTTTTTGGTACGGGGGGTTGAACTCAGGTCCTTGCACTTGCGTAGCAGGCGGTCAAACCACTGAGCTAAATCCCCAGCCTCAAACTTATGAATATTAAAAAAAAATACAAAAGAAGGTAGAGGCCTGGGCAAGGACAGGCCCCAAAATGCCTTTGGCTGGGAACTAAATGGTGGGACAAGCCGGCTTACTAGTGGTCAGAGAACGAAGGAGATTTTTTAAAAAAATAAACCAGGCTAGGTCAGATCCCTAGAGCCAAGATGAAGAAAGAGCAGGTAGACAGTCTGGTATGCTGTTTGTCCCTTCTGGCACAGGGGCTAGATTCAATCTGAAAATGTATATGGTGTTGCCTAGTCAAAGATAGCCCCTGACTGGGGATATAAATACCAAATAATGCTTTCTTTTTTTTTTCCTTTCTCTCAAAGAGCTTGCATGCTTAGAGGGAGAACCAACCAGGTGCAGATCAGATGCACAATTACTTGGCTTATGCACAATAAATGCTTAGCCAGAAGCATCAATGAATGCAGTGGAAGCACTGAAAGAGAGGTGGTTGAGTCCTTCAGTCCACTCAACTTTATAAGTTAAAAGTGTTCACTCCAGCAGCATATACACTAAAACATTATAAGTTAATGTCTGAGTTGGCTTTTGAAGGCTGCATATATGACCAGGAGAAGGGCTGAGCAGGTGGAGCAAGCATAGTTTTTCTGAACCTACTGAGTCAGGTCAAATTTATACTTCAGTTTGCTATGGTTACTCTATCCACTTTGGTCAGAAGGCCTCAAGGAGAAGGCGAATCTCTTGGTCTTGTGCTTATTAAAGCCCTGTGATAAGAGAGAGGGTGATGATGACAGCTTCTCCCAATGACTATCTGTCCACAAACTGTAGATTGATGCTTCTTTCAGGTACCAGGACAGTCCGGGTCATAGGTCTGATTGGGGGAGCACCTGGCTCAGGCAGCACCTCAAAATTGGTCAAGATCTGGAAGGGGAGAAAGAAGGCTATCATTATGAGGGGGTGATCTATAATGGTGGGGTTGATTCATGAAAAGCATTCTTAGTGTTAGAATGTTCAATGTTGGGTTGGCACCTGTGGCTAGTAGGGAACTTAGTCAATGAGAGCAAGGGATTATGGAAGGGAAAGATAGTGCAAATATCCTTGCTTACACTCCAGGCCTATATTAAGATCATCATATTTCTTCAGATTAGGTCTGCTGAGTCTCACATGTTTTCCTTTGCTTTTGAGAGGACAGGAGCTTACAGCTTAGAGGGTTTGGTTTCTCTGGTCTGGAGACTGGTAAAAGTCTAGATCACTCACCTGGGCCAAAGCCATTTGTAGCTGAAGCTCTGCCAAGCGTCTTCCTATGCAGCTGCGCTTGCCAAAGCCAAAGGGAAGAGATGCAAATGGGTGGGGGGCTGGGCTCTCCCACAGCCAGCGAGCTGGACGAAAAGAATTTGGCTCTGTGAACTGGGCAGGGTCCCTCGAAGTGGCGTAGTGACACAGAGAAACTAGTGTCTGGTGGGAGAGGAACACATACTTGTCAATTCGGGCCGAGGAATGCAAGGTGGAGGTGATGGGAAGAGGCTCTATGGAGTGGGACAAAGGCAGGCCCTGGGTGGAGATAGGAAAGTTTTCTGGGGCTACTTTTGGAACAATTTCTCTGCTGCCCCATTATATCCTGGGGAGAGGCATTCAGAGCAGTAGTGTTTGAAGGGTTTTGGGGAAGTGTTGGTTTTTTTGTTGTTTTTTTTTTTGGTACCAGGGATTGAACTTGGGACCCTGTGCATGTGAGGCAGGTGGTGGCACCACTGAGCTAAATCCCAGGCCCATTAATTTTTTTTTTTTTTTTTTGGTACCGGGGATCGAACTCGGGTCCTTGCACTTGTGCAGCAGGTGGCGAAACCACTGAGCTAAATCCCCGGCCCTTTGGGGAAGTGTTTGAGAGTAGAGCTGTGGCCTATGATAGTAAGGAATGGCCCAGAAAAGAGGCTCATTGGTTCTACTCACATTTCGGGGGATAATATAACCACCCACATGAATGTCTTTGTCTGGAACACGAGAATTTCCAGGTACCACAGGGTACAATCTAGGTTACAAAGTAAAAGATAGACAGTAAGGTGAGGCTGGGGGCTATATAGTCTTCTTCTCACCACCTCTAACTTCTAAACCCATGTTTGGCCATCTTTCTCTTCTCTCCCAGCTTCTATCCCGTCTGCTTCCCTATCCTTTCCCCAGGATTTTCTCTAACTTTGCTCTCCTCTCAACTCACCGTAGCACTTCCTTGATCACCGCCTTCAGCAGGGGCAGCTGGGAC